GTTCTGAAATGCTTTTCCACAGAGACCTCAGATCCGTGTGCCTTGGGAATGCTCTGTTCCCCACCACATCATTGCTGGCAAAGGCTCTTTCATAAACTGTCAGTGTAACAGCCCAGCGTTTGCCTTAGTCACACCCAACGCACAGCCTCCCGGGGCCCTGCCTAAGTGACTCTCAGAGGCTGCTAGATGCAACACTATCCAGTGCTGAAATTACAGGAAAAAGAATAAAAAGGAAGTGCGGGAATTATGTATCTCTGGTCAGGAATGTCTGAGACAGAATGGCAAATCCATTAACAGGGTCTGGGGCAGAGCGAAGACCCAGACAGGAAGTGGGCATGTTTCCTGCTTCCTTTTCCCAGACTCAGTAGAGGGATTTCCCAAGTTGGGTTCTCCCCCAGGCACAGGTCTCCTTGCCATAATCCCAGGAAGGGTGCATTACAATTGAAAGAGTTCTGACCAGGCAGGGCACCCCAGTTTTCATCCCAGCTCTCTGTTGGCCTACATTCTGTGGCCACTCTGGGCCTCAGTTTATCTGTCACCTTCTCTTGGAGCCCTTGGCAGTTTAAGCTGACATTTGAGCTTGTTTGTCACTATATCCTCATCCTCCCTCACTAGCCTAGGAGCTTTCAGGGCCAAGATGAGTCTCAGGTGCCTCTGTGACCCATGCCCCCTTCCCCAGCATGGGACTGGCCAGACATTAGGTCACCCAGAATATGTATGTGCGTGAGTGGATGGACCCATGAGTTCTTCAGTTGCTAGGATTTGTTCCTCTGCTCTTCATGCTCTGCTTGTGGACTGGTGGACCAAGTTAGGACTCTCAGGGGCTTTCGAATCAGACTTTGAGGACTGGGTCTACCACTTAGCCATGCAACTCTGGACAAGTGGCTTCACCTTTCTGAGCCTCAGTTCCTTGGCTGTAAAACGGAGCGATTGAGAGCCCTTACTGCGAGGAGTCAAGGCTTACATGAGCTAATGTAATGTAGGTCAGGGCCACATTCACTAGTGGGATGTATGGCTGCATTATCCTTACTATAACTGTCCCCATTTCACTGATGAGAGAACGGAAGTACAGTCAGCGGCAGAGTCAGAATTTGAATCCAGTTCTTTTCAAATCCTATTTCTGTATTTAAAATGGATGGGAATGTAATGTCATGAAGAGAACCCTGAGCTGGAGTTAGGAAATGTGGCTCAGCCACCAGCTAGTTCTCTGTGGTTTTGGACGTCACGTCACTGTACTGTGCCTCTATTTTCTCCCCTATAATAAAGGACATTAGAAGAATGGATGGCAGAATCTGTTAGGGCCACCCAATAAATGGGTGCCTGCCTGGCAAGCAGGTGTGGTTTTCCCTAAGCTTCTAGTAAGGATCCCCCACCCTAGTCTAGCCTGATATTTTGTGCACCTCAAAGGTCTGCCCATCTCCAGCTCCACTGTGGCATGCTGGGAGGGTTAATTAGGCAGTACCTATGACAGAAAGCCTCGAAGGCCTGTCGGAGAGAGGTCTAAATGAGTAGGCTTCCAGACACACCTGTTTTGGGTTGCTCAAAGCTTTCAGCAAGTATAAGCCAGGAAAGGCCCACTGGGGGTGTTGTCCTGTGTGGGAGAACCCAACAGTATTATCAGCATTGACTCCCTCCTCTTCACACCGTTCACCTTAATCTTCTCCACCTGCCTACCAGATCTTTTAAGAGTTCAGAGAGACACCTACATCCCAACACAGGTCAAAATCTTCAAAGGAGGTCGTTTTTTTTGGTCTGCCTCCCATGTAGACTTTTACCCAAGTGGGTGACAAGTTAACAAGTTAAAAGACTATAAAATCTGTTTTCTCTAACCCTGTCTGTCAGTTTCTTGTTGAGACGGCAGGCTGGAGAGAGAAGACCACTTTTTTGTGGTAGTTTCCCCCAACATGGGGCCCTGTGCTCCGCTCCTGAGAGTGTGCCAGGCGTTCAGGGTCCCTCGCTCTGCTGTTGTGTGCAGTCTCAGGGACAGAGCCAAGACACAGATGTAGTGATAGGGAACTCCAGGCAGAATGGAGGTGGCAGAGACACAAAGGACGGAGCTTTGGGTGGATGTGGGCAACTCATTAGGAAATGATAGGCTTCTGGCTCCATGAAAAAAAAAAAGCTTTCTGGCACAGTAGGACTGGGAGCCATGCTGGGAGGTACAGAAGCAGAGCTTGATCAGCACCTAACTAACAAGGGTGGGAGAGGAGTTTCATGCCCTGGGGAGGTGAATGCTGAGCTTTATCTTCACTTGTGTGGAGATTGTGACGGTATTTTCTCTGGGTGACTGGCTCGTCTGGGCCAGGGTTCCCTTGTCTTCAGTATTCTGAACCCCAGCTCCAAGTCAGTGGGGAGACTTCTGAGCTGCTGCTCTCTCCCCAGACTTACAGTCCACCCCCCACTGCTCCCTCAGGCCAGCAGAATCGCCGGGGCTGGGCTGGGGTCCTACTGACCAGTCATGCTCCCGGTCCTTACTTCTCATCGGGCGTTTGTCTCGAGTCAGCTGCGTTGAGGCAGACTTGTGCCACATCCATTCATTCAGGAACCAGAGGTCAACAGGGAGTCTTAGGGAGACGCCGAGGTGAAGCACACATACCAACCCTGCCCTCCGAACCTCGGGGGGCCCAAGGGACAGCATGGAATGGCAGGCAGAGCCCTGTAGACTCAGGTTTGGGTACTGGCCCCTATTAAGGACTGCTCTCGATCAAGGCCTCCTGTTGGCGGCAGACACTTTGGGGTCCTTTATTTATGTTTTCTATCATTAATCATGGAGTCAGCCACTGCTACCTTTCCCTGGCTGACAGGGTGCACAGGTGCACGGGATCTGCCCGAAGCCATGCTGCTCTCCCTGAGGAAGCACTGGATCTTACCACAGAGGGTGAGGTATCAGGAGGGGGAGGCGCTCACTTCTTGCCAAGAGCTGAGCAACTGACAGAAGACCTTTTGCCCCCTCTTGGCAACTGGACCTCACCCTTGAACCCTCCTCTTCCATTCTTTTTATTTTTCCTTTTTGGGGGGTTGGCTTCGAATTATCTTATTTTGTTTACATTGCACCCAAGTTTCATGGTACAAAAGACTTGCAGGTGCAAATATGTCCCGCCTTCATTAACTTCCCCTCCCTTTTTAATTTATGTGATTTCAATTTTCCTTCCCTGTACTGTTAATTAGGGGACCCTCTAATCAGTGCCATTATCACAGTGGTATTCATGTTTAGGAAAGCCGCTAAACAAATGCTTGCAAAATTGCTAAATGGCTAATTAATGTCTGTTAATTAAGAAAATTGCTCATGGTAACAAACCATGCCGTTGCTGGCAGCCGCTAGAAAGACACACACTTGTTGAAATTAGTAGCATGGCAGGTAGGGGAACATCTGCTCCTCGGAGCTTTCCGGAAGTGAGCAGCCCTCGGTTGGCCACGAAACTCCAAGCCTGTCCTTAGTGGCACCCCCGGCTTCTCGTATGGGCCCCCTCCGTCTTTCTCTGCTCACCTCTTCTCTGGGTCTCCTCGTCCACCAGCTCGGGCCCACCCCTTCACCCCTTCCCCAGCTCTGAGCTGTGCTTCCTGCACAGGCAGAAGGCGGGGCAGCCTGGCTCTGAGGGAGAAGACTGAAGAAGAAAATCCTACCTGCATCTCTCAGATTCTTTCTCCCCCTCTTTTGTAATGTAACCACACCCATTCCCCATGCATGTTTTGAATTTTTCTCAAAGGCAACTTCCAAGGGTAACGATAGTCATGGGCGGAGAAGAGTGAATTAGGGTGTACTCATCACCAGTACCAGCGTCCAGCTCCCTGAGTGGGCAGGGAAGGTGCTTCCAAGACAGGCTTTTCATCCTTTTTGACTGTGACCTGCAGCAGGAAATAGATTTGACATTGTGATCAATCTACACATTTACAAATAAAATAGAGATTAATGAAAACTATTTGCTTTAAAACATAAAACTCTGATATTTTCTATTCTTTTTATTCTGTTCTAGGTTTTTAAAAAACAATGGTTGCAACCCACTAAATTGATTTCACCTCCCACTAATGGGTTGTAACCTACAGTTCGACCAACCCCATGGTTTAAGTGAATTCATCTGTCCATCTCTTTTGGGCAATTGAGGTCAGCATTGCCCAGGGCTTTGGGAGCCACCTTAGAACCATAGGCGGCTCATCACTGACTGGAATGGAAAACCCAGCCCCGGCACCCACCCACCCAGCAGTCAGGGGCTTACAGCTCTATCCCCCTACTCTTGCACACACCCACTCCAGCTCTGCAGGGTTGAGGTGGGCCTTGGACCCATCAGGCTACTCGTCCTGGCTCTGCCATTTACCATTGTGTAGCTGTGGCCAAGTCCCCTCATCCTTTGACACTCAGTGTCCTCATCAGTAAGAACAGGAATGAAAAACCCCCACCTCACAGGCCGTTTTCAGGTGAAGGTGCATTAATGTACTGCACTGAGAGGGCGCTCGGTAACCGTGTCTTCCTCTCGTTTCCCCGTGTGTTCAGTCTCTGGCATCACCCCACTCCTCCTGTCTGTTCTCGTTCATCCATCAGTAGACTGGTTTCTAGGTACCCATGACCTGCCTCTGTCCCCCCAGACTGGGAACTCCTTGAGGGCAGGGCCTCTTACACGTCTTGCAGAGTGGGTTAGTTTCTGCGCATCACTATGCTCTCTGAGCCCGTCTCAACCGATGTATTTAACATGGCAAACTCTGCTCCAATGCTAGACGATGCCTGGGCCCCTGCTCCTGTGTGCTTTGACAAAGGAGCTCGATTTGATTTTTCATTCCTGTAAATCCCCGTGAACGTGTTTATCAGCTTCTCTCCCTCCCGCTCGCCGTTTTCCACCGATGAGCCGGCGACCTAGGCAGCAGCTCACATCTCCCCGCCAATCAGAGCCCGCCGCCCGCACGCCTGCCGCCCGCCCTTCGTTTTGGTTTGATTTTTGTTCTTTTAAGCTTCTGCGCTTCTCCATGTGCTGTGATCTATAACCTGCCTCTACTGTCTGGCCTCACAGGGTCCTCCGGGGTCACAGCCCTCGCCGCACGCACAGCCTCCACCCCACAATCCCAGCAGCATGATGGGACCCCACAGTCAGGTAACGCACTTGGCTCGCCCGCCCGCCGGGGGGCGCGGGGCACCAGGAGGACAGAGCCAGCAGAGGAAAAACAAAAATCAAAACGTGCTCTCATCATTGCCTTCAAATCTTGATTGACAAATGAAGTGTTCTTAAAAAAATATTTTTTCTTTCTAAAGAGAGTCTTCATTCCTTGGACATCACACCCAGCTTGGATATAAAACCAAAACATTTCTGTGACCTTGTCAGCGGCCTTTGCGTTTTTGTTTTTTCCTCTCTCACTTTTGGTTTTGAGTTTGGTTAACCATTTGTTTGTAACCGAAGCTGCATCCCTAGCCTTTTCTTTGTGCACTCTTGCTGCTGAGAAAGCTTTCCTGCCCATTCCCTGCATTCAGTTAGGAAGCCCGCTGTCCCTTTACTGTTTTCATTGTGTTCCCCCCTCGAATCTTCGCTCCCCTCCCCCACCCCCTTCGTCGGTGGTTTCTGTGTGTGTGCGTGTGCGTGCGTGTCCAGCTTTGTCTGCACACCCTGAAAATCATAGGTATAGGTCCCTTTTCTGATGCTTTGATTTGCCTTTCCCAAGAGCAGACTTGTCCCTCCTTTCCCTGACATCGATGTCGCTGCTCTTCCGGTCCTGTGCAAAGTCCCAGCCGCTGCCCTATCACCCACAGTTGATCTCTGAACAGATGCAGAGTCGGAGTCCCCAGTGTTGGGGCATCTATTGTTTCCTCTGCCCAAAGGAAGTTTTGCCTGGAGGGAAGAGGCCACTGGGAGAAAGAGAGTTTAAAAGATCACTAGTTGTAACAACCTGGACTTTGTGGAGTGGAGCGCATTTGTGTTTGTCACTGTGCAGGAGCACAGGCTGTCATTGAACTAATTCCCTGTAATTGCAGCCTTTCATGTCACCGCGATATGCAGGCGGCCCCAGGCCCCCGATCAGAATGGGAAACCAGGTACTGTACCTTTTCATGTTCCCTCTCCCCTCACTCAGCCACTCTTGACCCCCGTTGTTCTTTGACTTGCATCGAAATGTGGGGAAAGGATTGGGAAGTGGAAGGACAGGTTTTAACATGGAAGTTAGCTTTACAAGCAGGTCCCCAGAGAGGGCCCTGTGTCCCCTCTGTGCCCATGGTAGAGCTGCCAGCATTTTCATCTGCCTTTCCTAGGAGGCTTGGGGCAGCAGTTCTAGGCAGCAGCAAAACCAGCCAGGGTGGGGGGGATGCAGGGTTTCAGCTAGTATAGAGAAGGTGGTAATACCCCTGCCCCTCCCTTGCAGGCCTTTCTTGGAAAAGGGTCTTCCTCCTTAATGAAGTTAATTGACAACGTGCATTTTTTCCTGGAAGCTTTTGAGAATTGCCAAGGCCGGTAAATAGAATCCTGCTATTAAGGGGAGAAATGGCCCGTAGGAATGCTTAGATCAGGAGCCTGGAGGCAGCGGAGCAGGACGTTTGGGAGTTTTTCAGCAATGTCTGCCGGCTTCCCAGACCCAACTCAAAACAAGAAAGGATTTGTTCATGTAATTAGAAAAGTGGTCTGCTTACGGGGAGGGCTTTTCAGACTGGGGTTGTGTGCCTTAGGCTGGCCTATTAGAATTGGAAGTTCTAGGTGGTCTGGAGAATCAGCCCCGACGCGGCCCTCCCTGGCATAGCCCATCCAGGGGCGGGAGGGCAGTTGGTGAGGTGCAGATGAATATCCTCTTTTGAGGATAGATAGACTTAAAAGAAACTTCTGGGAAATTTCTTTTTCTGCCAAAATATTTTTTATACATAATTCGAATGACCTTGCGAAAAGCCCTTCAAAAATCTGACAGCAACACCAGTGCATCTAACCTGTGCTGCCTTGGGAGCCAGGAGTTCGGTCATCAACTAAATTGGTGTTCTCTGAGTGTGGTTGCTCCCATCCTCAAGGCTCTGCAGGAAAGCCCGGGAGCGAGATGGCACAGGGACCACAGGGATGCTCAGAAGGAGACGCCTCCAGTTTTGAAGTTAAATTACCTATCGGGTTTCCGCTTATTTTTTTTTCTCCAAAAGCCCTTTGTTTTCTATTTTCTCTGACAAGAAGGGGACAGATTTGGACAAGAAGAATTAGAGACTCGGCTTTTTGAGCAAGGAGGGACCCATGGATACATCAGAGATGAGGAAACAGAAGGTCGGAGTGGAGGAGTGACTTCCCAAAGCCTCCCAGTGAGCTGGGCTCAGATCCCTCTCCAGCTCCCTAGCCAGTGCTGTTTCCTGTCCGCCTCACCCATTCAGTTTGCTTTCACAGTTGTGAAAGCGCGGCCCCTGCCTTTGTTTTCAGCCTGTCACCAAGCGGCTCTCCTTTGCCATCACACACACGGGCCACAGCAACAACTTTCTCTCCTGCCCATCCAGGGGCTCTCCTCTGCCCCAGAGAGAGACCAGATGCTCCCTTCTAATTGTGGCCCTTCTTCTAGCTGTTGAGGGACACTAGAGGAAATGTATATGTTTCTGTTTATCAATTCAGCATGAGCAAGTACCCAGGAGAGCAAATGGAGAATAAATTGTCATCTGCATCTTCACAATCTCCCGCCTCCCTCCTCCCCCTCATCAGAAAGCAGTACTGGTTTTCCAGTTTCCCGTGAACTCAAATTTTTGTCCTCCAAAGGAAGATGGGCCCCTTTCACAGGTATTGCCCCTGGGGCTTTCTTAAAGAGTACCTCAATTGGGGCTGTTGATGAAACAGAAGCCTCTGTGTCACCCGAGTTAGCTCAGCCTTCCACCCGGACAGGTAGGGCAAGCAGAGGCTGCAGGACTTGCTCATGTGACCTCCTGGGCAATGAGAAGGGCACTTAGCGATCAAGAAGCTAAGGGTCGTTAACTTGGCTTTGAAGTTTTGCAGGGCCAGCCTCATACCTGCCTCCATATCCACGTCTGAAGTTTGAGGCCGTGTATGGAGAATTGCTGTGTTTTAAGCAAGGGCGGCTGGGTGGGTGGTGAACAGTGGGGTTCAGCCAGATTTAGGAGAGGAGGAATCCAGGGCTGTCAGGCAGTCCTTTCGTCACGTCCCAGCGGAGCCCCCACCAGGTGAGCGTGCAAACGCTGCTGGGATTTGTCCTTTCCCTGGGCAGACACTTCTGGCACCTGCCCCACAGTGCTGTGGGAGAGGCACTGGCCTACTTCCAGAAGCCTGTGGGACAGCCTCGGAGCCCCTCGCCCCCTAGCAGTTTTTGAGGTATGTGCACAGCACGTGCTTGCAGCCCCATTACGAGCTGTTACTTTCCTTCTTTGTTAATGCTTGAGGGCTTCAGCCCGCTCAGTGCAAGACATTACTATCTTGGTTATCGCACACCTTCCTTTTTTTGTAGAGAAGGCCCAGACTTCCCTGTCCTATTTCAGGGTCACCCCAGTGAGGGAGGTGACTCCCAGGCCCCCTCTGAGCCTCTGGGCAGCCCAGCTCTGCTCCTGCATCTTGACATGCAGCAGGCTTAGGGGAGCCCCAGAAGGAGCTTCCTGTAGGAACAGGTGGTCAACACTGGGCTACCTGTAAAGGGAGCGATTGTCCAACCCCATGGCTGCTCTGCCCACCTCAATATCCTAGAATCCCCAAAACCAGACAGCCTCAGACTCAGCCCTGCCTGTGTCCTCTCAGATGCGTGTAACCAGCCAAACTGCAAATGGTACAGACCGGCCAAGTGATTCAGAGCTTGGAAACTCAAAAGAGAAGCAAGGCTGGAAGAAAGTGGGAGGTGGGAACAGCTAAAACCCAGAGGCTGGAGAGACAGACCCTAAGTCCCCAGGCAGGTGGAAACAGCAGGTGCTCCCCAGGCTTGGGTGGCCCTCCCAGAAGCCCTCCCCCTCCCTAGACACCCACACACACCCCATTCTGAAGCTATACAATGAGGACTCATCCCTTTTCTTCCTACCATTTCATTCTAAAACCAGCTTGGGGTTCACCATTGGGCCAAAGGTAGACCAGCTCCCCACTCAGCCATCCACACAGCAGTGAGCAGGATGGGGGTGATGGTCCCTATCACAGGTGCCTCAGACGCACTGGTACCTACAGGTGGAGAAGGGTGACCAGCTTTTCCAGAGGCTTTTCTTAAAGGCAAGGGCCCATGTTTAGTCCTAAGGCATAGGGCTCTGGAAGCAAACTTTTGCCCCAGCTCTGCTTCTCTCTCTCCTCAGATGGCAGCTGAGATAACTTCAGTCCCAAGTAAATCACTTTTAATAGGTTTTCACAGAGGTCGTGCCAAGCGTTCACTCAGGAAACCCATGGCACCCTGTCCTCGCCTTCTTAGTCGTAACTGCACCTGCATCTACCACTTGTGTCAGGCTTTGGGGAGCAGATCCTCATTCAGCATCCTGCTCCCCCCTCTCCTGGAGCCCCCTTCTTCACCCTCGGTGTGGGAAGGAGGCACTTCATGTGAGGGAGTCAGGAGTCCAGAGTGCTCATGCCAGCTCTGCCAGTAGGAGCCTGGGGGCTGTTAGGCCTCTGGGCCTCATTTTCCCTTGTCTCAGTCCCAAAGGCTACCTCCACCTCTGTTCCCTTTTACAAAGAACCTCCCATTGGGATAGGATTTTGAACTAGCGTGTGTCTCACAGTTTGGAGGCAGGGAGAAAATGAATTACGTCTCCAAAAGGCATAGGAAAGGCAGGGTTTGGCTTAAACCACAGCAGCTAGGGTTTGGTGGTAAATGGGAGGGGACACTGCTGCCTCTGAGGAGTATGTGGCAGACACCGCAGCCAGAGCGTGACCAGGCTCTGGCAGGTACACAGACCCACACACACAGCAGGGCGGAGCAATGGTTTCTCTCCCACAGATGAAGCCCGGATCCACCCATGCCAGTTTTCGCTAACGCCAGCTCAAG